TCATGGGATAGCATGTTGCCATTTGTTTGTTTTTGGTTTTTTTTGGTTTTTAAATAAGAAATAATAAAGGTTTTTTTTGTAGCAGGTGGTTCTACGTATCAATGCATCCGGTGATCATCAATACATCTCTAAAATTTCCCGGTTCTTTAAAATTACCCTGAAAATTATACAGAAATGTTCTAATATTACAAAACTGAATTTTTACTTGTGAATACTTAAGTATTTTCCAAAGTGAGTATTTCACACTTTTATTTGAGTAGATGTTGGATCAAGTAACTTTTACTTGTAGTTGATTAAGATTTGACTGTAATTATCAATACTTTTACTCAAGTGATAAGTACTTCGTCCACTGATGCATATAGAAAAACTCACTAATTTAAATATCTCAGAATCAGGATCCACAGTACACTCTTGTGTACATTCCACATTCAGCAGCTGGTAAACAACTCCGGGTAAAGTAAGGTTTTGTATTTTTGAATTCAGACATATGTTTCTTTTAAGGCTCGAAAGAGTCTTGTTTAAGCCAGTCAGTATTGGAATATGGATAAATACTGTAAATGCACACATCAGTTCAGAGTCTGCTGAGGTCTACATTCAGCTTAGCATAGAGAGAGGTTCATCTCCGGCCTCAGGGTCCTGACTCATCACTGTGCTTTTTATGTCTGTGTTGTTTGGTCATCCCTGAAGTCTAAAGGCTTCAGACTTTCTTTTTAAGGAAAGCTTTAAAATTGAATAAATGGACTTTTTAGACTCTTTTAAAAGGATCAAAAGGGATGAAGAAACATTCGTTTGTAACTGCTTCCCTTGAGTAGTTTAATTATAGTGTGAAATTGTCATGATGGTATTTTTGGAGTTGTGTTTCACAGTGTGAAACTGACATATGATTTTAACACCTTCCTGTCTTAGCCAGGATGCTCTTGAGAAGAAATGTTTAATCTCAATAAGATTGTCCTGGTTAAATAATTAAATAAAATATCTGACTGACTGACTGACTGACTCTTTTTGCCCCATTGATTAGAAGTAAAAAGTGCTTTTAAGGCCTCTTTCAACTGTCACTATCAGTTTGGAAGTAGTCCTATTTAAATAGGGTGTTCCAAACCAGCTTTGTAGTTATTTTTCTTTTGTACATGCAATTGTTGTAGATTACCTGTATTTATTGAATGTGCATTTTTTTTTTTTTTTGCAAGAGCACTTTGGTGCTCATTATAATCTATAATTTTGAAAATTAGGCCCTACATGTAGAAACCTTTGCAGGGAATTTACTTATTTTTGCAAACCGGTCTTAAAGTTCATTCAAAACATAGGTTTGTCAGGTCCTTCATCTCGAAAAGAAATGAGTTTCTCATCAACTGTTGCTTTTTTTGTTGTTTGTTTTATTTGCTTGGCAGCTCAGTGCTTTTTAAATCTGCCAGGCTGAATGTTTAAATGAGTAACACGGTGGATCTCTCCGCAGGGCCGATCGCTGTTCCTACAGTCATCCAGAAACGTCTCGGTCAATATCGTGAACAGCAACAACCAGCTGCTCACGCAGCTCGTCACAGGTAAGACTCAGCAGGACCCACACCCACTACTTTCATGGAGCTCCTTGATGTTTCTTTTATGTGATGTATGTTCCTTCAAAGGCATCAGTCCTGATGACGTCTATATCAGCAACAGAAAACAAGATTTAACAATCTCCCCTTAGCATCAAAAACAGTAATAACTGTGAATTATTTACCTTCAAAACACATGAGGTGAGGCAGATCTGATAAATCTTAGATTTTCATTCAAAGGAACCTTAAATTGGACTATTCTATAAAGAAACTTGATTTTCCAAAATCTTTTCTGGATTTCTCTATTTTCCTTATCATGTGGGCTGTTTAGGTTTCTTTTGTTGCTTTCATCACAGTACTCCAATTGAGATAGCATGGCTTGTAACACTGCTCAACGTTGGTGCGCATAAAACTACTGACCATTTAAAAATATATATATATATTCTGCTTATTGTCATTTTTTTTTATCTAAGGTTTAAAATGTACTTATAATGTGTTAGATTTTTATGGGAGGGGATAATAATACCAATGCCATACTCTCTTTTATCGAGGGCTCTTGTTTTTGTTGTTAGTTTTTCTTCTTTTCGGCCATTAAGGTCAGTGATTTCCAAAGATCAGTTGTGGCCCTTGGGAGGATTCAGTGTGTTCCCCTGGCCATATTCCAAAATGTAAGTTCAATTCAGTTTATTTGTTCAGTGAACATTTCATCTCAAAAGAGACAATGGTCGGATTGGCAAACATTTCTATCAAAAAAAAAGAAAAAAAGCTGATTGCACTGAGTCGTGGACTTGCAAGACATGCTCCTCTCGGATGAGATAGCTGTCACGATTTTGGCTTGAATTTTGTTGTTGACTCTTCAGCAATCCCTCACACCTAACACATATTCAGCCACATCGGAGAAGAAAGCGTCAGCAGAACCAAGCTCAGTGTGAGCCACCTTCTGTCTAGGCCAACTGGGGTTCAGACAGATAGAAGCAGAGATACTAAAAGAACCAGATATACAAATTGTTACTGTTCACTGGCGTACTGGTGCCCCCCTCCAGGACAGAAACAGTGAAGCAGTTGAGATCTGCGCCAGTTCTGCTGTCAAAGGATGGTTCTTGTGTTCTCCCTTCACCTTTTATTGGGTCAAAAGGATACTTTCCTGAGTTGAAAAGGAGCTCTAGGCAGCTGTCCACACAGCCTTTAGCCATATGGACATCCTTATATGACAGCCTTCCAGAAAAAAGTTACACAAATGTCATGAATGACTGAAGCTGTCCATTATAAAACCCATATGAAGGTACATGTGTATTTCTGTTAAACTCTGGGGGATGGGATGTACCCGCCACTCATTCTGTCAAACACAGGATTGTGGCCAGTCCTATAGCTCTGATGATGTTCCTATGCCAAATGATTTATCCATAGGAGGTAGAGGCTTCAGAAATGTATATCAAAACCAACCCAATAGGGGTTAATATGTTTATACTTTCATTTGATGACCTCTGTTCACGAATTGGCCCATAAAGCAACTTACCCAAACAACATTAGTTAAGTTAGAAGATTGTCTTCCAAATTATATGATTCGGAAACGATGGGGTATATTTATTAACGGCAAAATTTTGTTAAATGTTTTGTTGCTTTTTAAAATGTGACCTGGTGCTATTCATAAGGTTTGAAATTACCTAGATTTCTTATCTTAGAACACCAGTTAAATTTAGTTATATTCGAAGTATTATTTTATTTACTGCTTCTTACATTCACCATGTTTTTAAAGGGAGCACTTGTTTGTTCTTTCTGCTATATTTCTAATATTTTTATTATGGCAAAATAAAAATACAAAGGGCAGACAATCTTACAAACCAAGGGACACAATTTGGACAGAAATAACTCTCTTTAACAGCAAACCTTCAGCCACACATGAGTGGGTAAGAGCAGCAATTTACTTTTTTTACAGAAGGGCATGCACACAAAAGCCCCAGTCCTGTGCTTTTGGTTTTTACCAAAAAAGGAGGGAGTAAAAGACAACAGTAGCTCTCTTAGAGGCTTTCTCTAAAATAAGAAATTGGCTGAACAGAAGCTGCTAGACTGTGATTAATTCCATAGGATGGGAGATTTTGCATACAGTATGTCTCATCAAAAGAACCTTTAACAGTTTTATCAAGAATAAAAAAAACGTAGAACATGATTGAAGGAACAAATGTCTCAACCAAAGTACACAAGATCAAAATGTTTACTCTGCATCAACAACTAATGGCTCCTTAACTATGTTGGTCTACACTATTTGCGAAAATCTTCTGAATTTAGTTCTTTTTGTTACATTTAGGTACCTCATTTTTAAAAAATAATTGCAAAAGGCTATCTTAAATAATAATTTCATCAAGTAAAACTCTTAATATGAACCTAGCTAGTAAGTTTTCTTGAGTAGGTATTTGACTTCAAAATTGTCACATCATTCAAGCAGATTCAGATACACACTAAGGAGGGGTGATTGCAGTTCCTGCATTGAAAATGTGTTATTCTGAGTAGTATTAGCTCATCATTTCCAGTTCATTTAAATTCTGCTAATCCTCAAAAATACGCCCTTCATGAGTTTAGCCTCCGCTTCTTTTCTTCTACCATAATCACAGTCTCTCCTTTACTTGCTGCACTTGTCAAAACCCAAAGGAGTTGGCGGTGTTGAATGAATGGTGCTCACTGTGCGTGAACAAGCTCAGGAAGTGTCTTTCACATTCGAGAAGGGCGCTGACATTTGGCTTCTGGCTCTGAAAGGGATGCAGCCGAATACGCCCCAATGTTTGTCCCTTGGATGACTAAGCAGAGTTCGTGTCATGGGAAGGAACTTGAAATCATCCCGGAAAGTGACACAATTAATTGCTCTTCTGTCAATCAGTCACACTCAGAGGCATGTGTTTTCTGCCTCTAGGTTAAACAAAGCAATTAAGGTCAGACACACTTCCCTGTTTTTTCATGTCGGTCATGACACCATTCAGGTTTGTCTCAATGTATCTGAGGTTTTTCCCAAGTGCCATGCAGATTTGTTGTGACTTATCTTTTGGTGTATTTCTTTTATTTTAACAGAGAAGGATTTTAAAGAAAATGAAATCCATATTTTTTGTTTTTTATATTTCCTCATATCAATCCAAATGTTAATATTTAATGTTTAAAAGGACTTTGGGTACATGTGCATTCACAGGACAGCAATCGTAATTAGACGTGACATGCCGCTTTCTTTTACCTGTGAAATTTATAGTAGACAGTGCCCTAGATAATTGCCCATGAGAGCATCCTATCAGGCTTGTGGGCTAATATTGTAAATAAATAATGCACAATCTGATTTAAAACTGATGAGAGTTTAAGCCCAACTAAGAAAAAATGTATCACAAATCAGAGCTTCTACAGGCAGTAAAGAGAGAAAAAGGGTGAATACACTCTTCGGTCTTGATTGTCTAAAATCCCAAAAATGGCTATCTAAGAAAATGGTGCAATGTTTAAAAAAAATACAGTATAACTGGTTTGATGTAGTGTTCACTTTTGGTATTCTAATTTGAAATGAAATTGATGACAAAATTGGAATAAATGCATAATTATCAGATTCATAGCCATTGTCATGGAATAAGCAACAACTTTTGACGTGTAATATTCATCAGTAAGCAATGAAGTGATTGTGCAACAATAATTTTAGCAGTGATTAATATCAGTGATCCTATCAAAGATTAGAGATGATTAGCATCAAGTATAAGAGTCCCCTTGCGTTCTAAGAATTATATTTTCAGAGATTCACGTCAGTAAGCCAATCAGTGATTAGAGCCAGGTTAGTTAGCAGTAGTTAATTAATAAGTCCAACACTAAGTTGGCAGAAATTAACTTCATGACGACTAGCTATGATTAGCTTCAGAGAGTCATTCACTGATTTTTCTTCGATCAGGTTAGGAAAATATAAGCATAAAATGAAACTAATTTTTTTTTCAACTAGTTAGTAGAATTGATAACAGATCCGTAAGTTTTCAAAAATCTGTTGCAATATCTGCCTATTCTTGGTTTGGCAATAATGAGCATTATCTTGATAGTGATTAGCATTAAATATTAAATAACAAAACAATGTGAAGCAATTTGTAAACAGTGAAAGTAGACTTAAAGTGTGACAAAAGCAGCACGACATTTGTAATTTTCTCTTGACTTTAACTAATCTGGCTGATAATTATCAATTACTGTGAAAGTGATTAGCATTGGCTAGCCTATAAGTTCTTAGAATCGGCTATACAGTAATATAGATTTTTTTTCTATTTTGTAATTATTATAAGTTAAACTATCAACAGTTTTCAATAATTAATTTATAGGTATTTGTATTATTAAGTGTAGCAGTTAGTAATTAAACTCGTAATATACTGTAGACAGCCACAACATTTTAAGATTTCAGTCCCAAGGTGCCTGGTTTACATGCAAAGTCTATGGTGGATGGCATCAAGTGTCTACAAGAGATCCTGCAGCACATGGGACATGTCAAATTTTGTAACGTTTCTTGTGCCAAGCACTGTGCATTTAAAACATTCAAACATCCAAAAAAGGCAAATGCTGGAGTTAGAAAATCTGAATATTTTGCAGCTCAACACAGATTGTCAACCAATCATAGAAGCTGATTAAGGAGCCTTCTGGGAGACAAACACAACATTCAAGCCATGATCTCGCCTCCTGATGAGCTTTCAGCATAAAACGGTGAATAATTAATATTCAAAGAAGTTAAAGTTCATTGGTTTTTACATAAAAATCCAAGAGGGTCTAATCTTCATGGATGAGGATTGAGAGTGAGAGTTATTACTCCACTAAAATATTTTCTTACTAAACTGGGGCAAAACAGCTTATTATACTTTATTAACTAAACATGTCAAAACCTGCTAGGAAAAGATATTTGATTTTATATTCCATCAACCGCTCGGAAAGACAAGCTGTCCGAGCAATAAGGGGGATCTTATAATGGAGCTGATATGGTGTTTAGTTATTAATTGGCTCTGTGAGGGTACGTTTTGACACTAATTCAAAGATATGATGGAGCCCTCTTGCTGCTCAGTATAAAAAACATTTTCACTCACTGCAGAAATGCTTAGTTGAACTTAATTGTGCTTATTTGAACAAAGGTTCTGTTTTTCTTTGAAAATATCTACCCATGAATGACTCACTAGATCCTATTTCATGCCATTTCGCATGAATTTAGGTCAAGGCTTTGAATTGGCCATTACTGTCCACTAATGTAATTCTATCAGCCCATCTTATTGGTTGAACAACCTCTATGCTTGGTGCCATTATGTTGCCCTCTGGCCTACTTTCTTTTTAGTTCATAAACATATCCATTGTGGAAGTTTTACTGTAGAAGATAATGTTACTGTTTAAAGGCGTTAAGTATATATAAAAAAGGGTCACCATAGTTGGAATAGGTTGCCAATAGGACCACCGTAAAGTAGTTAAGGATTTGATTCTCCGTTAAAACAATTACTTAAAGGGAAAGCTGTTTACTGAGTCTTTTTTGTTTGGGCATGTAAAGGTTTTTCTTATTTTTGATTGTTTTAATTCAACATTAACATGGTGCCGAAGTCCAGTACTCGAGAGCTACAAGCCTCTAACTTTTGTCGGCATCCTTCAACATAGTAAATATACTCTACAGACATAAACAGCAATTTTAAAAAGAAATTCGGATGATGCTTATTTTTCTGATTAAAAGTGTGCCATATTTTCAGAATAACAATCTTTAAGCAGGTATTAACTGGTTTTTCCATGAGTCGATATCTAGTGGAGGTGTCATTACCCTTAAAACTTTTCAAAGAAACTTGGAAAATATAAGTTACATTTAAAACACCTTTAGAATAAATAATACATTTTCTAATTATTTTAAATTGTCCAAAAAAGTTCTCTGTCCACACATCCGTGCATAAAAAAGCTACATCTCTAAAAACCTTCCTACTGGAATTGTCAGGGTTCTGCTCTCTGCTTGGGTGTATTTTTATTTTCTTTGTGTTTTGTCTTTGTAGTCGATTTTCACCAATGCTTAGTTCTGCTTGTTCGTGCTTGTTTCCTTTCTCATTGGCTTCCTCCTAGTTGGTCTTGCCCACACCTGCTCCCAATCTGCTGATTAGTCTGTCTTGGTTCAGTCTCCCCATATACACACCACCTTTGCAGTCAGTCGGTGCTGGTTTGTTGTTTTTTGTTGCTCCCTTACCTCTGGTTCCCAACGTGAGTTTTCCCTGACGTTTTGGTTCTTTGTATTTTTGGATTTTACCTCAGTTGCCTCATTAAATTTGCAAGACTCACCTCTGCCCGCTGTTCCCTGCATTTGGGTCCTCAAAAACCTCCACCCTAACGTGACAGTACCTGGTATCATCCCACGTTCCAAAGGCCCCAAAACCTGGCTTAACTGTCATGGTGTCACTGGACTCCACTGGCAGGTTATCAAAGCAACCCGGGCTTCTATTACATCTCAGCAGGCTGATCACTACTATGCCACAACGCATTAATAATTTCATGCAAAATTATTTAAAATGCATACCCACTATGCACAGCAACAAACATCATTTTCAGAAGCCAGACAATTTTGTTCAAAATACTCATGTTTTCTGTGATAGAGAATTTTGTTTTTATCATTTTCTATCTTTTTTTTTATCATAATCATCAAAATACATGAAATGGATCTGCGTTTCTAAAAAAAGATATTGTAGGAACATTTTTTCACTTTTCATGTCGAATCAATTGGATAAATTAATTTTGAATGATATAAGAAGTTAATAATATGCACCTCTCTTTTCATTTGTCTAAATCAAGTCAGAAATTTATATTCAGTAATGACTCAACAATCCTTGCGTGATTTTATTCATAATGTAACTACGGTTTAACTAAGTAGAAAAGCTGTTTTCAGGGTTTTAAAATAGGGTTGAATAAATACAGTAAGGCCTGCAGGACACATTACTATACTGTTTTTGTATTTCCAAGGTGAACTGAGAAGGAAGACAGCGGTAGCTTTGGTCTTCCTCTTTGATGTCTTCTCTCTGTCTGTGTTCGCTTTAGGATCCAGCGGATTTAAAGCACGGGGGAAGATGTTTGAAGTGAAATCCACCTCCGGGAAGCTGCTTTTCTCGGCGGACGAGCAGGAGGTGGTGGTGGGTGCAGAAAGGCTCCGAGTGATGGGTGAGTGGCCGGCTGCAGCGTTCAGATGCCCCCAATTCAGAGTGTGAAATTAAACTGTGAAGTCTGAGGCGTTATACCTCAAAAGATGCTGTTGAAGGAAGATTTTTGTCTCTGACGTCAGCTGGACATAATTTTTTTATTTAAATTTTGTCTCTTTTTTGGAGGGGGGCGGGTAGGAATATAAAAGTGCCATGGATATAAATGCAAAGAAAAATCAAGGTTAAGCTCACATTAGCATCATCAAGAGAGAGAAGTGAAGGCCTTAGATCTCGTGTTTGAGATGACAACCTGCACGGAGCGGATAAAGGAGGATTTTTAAAGCTTTTCCTCAGAGAGAGGAAATTTGAGCTCGGTCAGGAACAGCGATAGCGAGGAACTCATATTTCCAGCAGGAATCAGGGGGAGGAGGTGACATGTAGTCCTTTAGACAAACGAGTTTATGCTTATGACGGGAGATAAGAAGTGACAGAGCAGTTTTAACTGGACGGCCTCCGAGCGACGGAGACGTGACAAGTGATTTCCTGTGTGAGCGGAGAGGTGTAGCAGGAACAGTGAGGGAGAGAAAAACACAAGGCCCAAACAAAGCATCTGCATACAATTAAAGCTGCAACAAAGATGGTCCTGCAGCGTGATGGGAAATGTAATCTGCCTGCAGGAGGTGACAGATTTAATGTTGGCTTTCTCTTTTTCTAAGGGGCTGTGTCAGAAGATTTCAGCATTAAATTAAATGGAAATTATGAAATTTGTTTGACAGCGAGACCCAGCATGAGGGTTATTACTGAGCTGCTGTTCAAATTACCATTTCTGGGTCTGGAGGAAGGGGAAATTTATGCTGCCTGGGACCTCGGGAGGTCAGATATTCGACCAGGGAAGCTGAATAGATGATATGCTAAGTGGATGGATTTTGCTAAGCAATGAGTTCACAGCCGGAACAACCATCCAGCGACTTCACAAAGTCAATGGAGATTTCCAGCAGCAAATTATTCCTTCTAAACTACCTGCATACTTTATTTCTCTGCAGACATTAAGATGGATCTTCAGCATGTTTATTAAGCAACCTGTTGCGCATCTCCGTCCAGAAGGGAACTATTATGCAACAAACAAGCGAAAGGACATTTAGAAACAACACACTTGTACTGCTCAAATTTGAATCTGATGTAGAGTTTCTCCATATAAGGTCAACATTAAAAACACAGTCTTAAATTTATGGGACATCGCCACTACTATTTGGTAAAATGTCCCTTAATAAGTTTTACCCCTATTAGGTACTGGTGATAGCCCTAAAACAGGTTGTGACACAGCTCTAGCCTTTTCTTCACAGATTTTAACAATACTCCACCAAACTGTGATAGGGATGAGGTCCAGGGCATCCAAGAAACTTATCATAGTTCGACTTTTGTCATGTTTCTGGTGAAATTTGCTGAGTCACATAAAAAAAAAAAAAAAAACATTTCAATATATCGTTGGTGTGCTTGCCAGGTTTCCTTACTTGATTGATTGATTAATTAACTTTTTTGATCTCACAGTGGAGAAATGTACTTCTTACATAAGTTCAAATAGTCAAAAAGAAGAAGAAGGTGCCAAAAGGAAAAAAAAAGATGTATAGGGTATATATAGTATATACACTGTGTCCACACACACACACATATATATATATATATATATATATATATATATATATATATATATATATATATATATATCAGAGAT